GATAGATAAATAAATATATAGAATAAATTTTTTTAAATATTAAAAATTAATTATAAATGAGAATCATAAATTTAAATCGAAATAAGCAAAATGTTTTTAAAAAAAATGCTTAAAAACCTTTGCATTAAAGAAAAGTGACTACAACCGTTTTATCTTTAAAAAGAAAATCTTAAAACACTTTTGTATAACAAAATTATTCTCACTTATATATAGAAAGTGATATAGGAATATCCCAATTAAATTTTATTTATTTATATCTATCTATCTATATATTTATTTATCTATCTATTTATTTATTTTTTAGAACGAAATTTTTTTTCCATAGCTCCTTTTAGATTTATCTAATTGTATAAGTGAAATAGGTTATAAAAAAATGAAAATAAAAAATTCTCCTTTATTGAAGATTGTTGAGTTGTTCTCACATTAATTATTTATAAATAACAAATTTTTTACTTGGAAATTATAAACTGAACAAGAAATTGATGAACAACTATTGAGTCCTTTATTTTTATAAGTCACTTTTTTTTATAAAAAAAATGTGTATATATATCTATTAATAGTATTCAAATAATTAAAAAAGTAATCATAAATGTACAAGAAAAGGAAATTAACTAAGGAGATAAAATGGAAATAGCAAGCAAAAACGGATCGACAATAAGTTTGCTGTAATTTGCAACATATTAACAAATATGACAAGACATTTACTAAAACGAAGAGTTTTCCCTATTTCATTGAACAGGCTCCTGTATGTATATATATCCTTCATTTTTAGGTCTTATCATAGACAGAAGTCCGATTCATGCACCATAATATATAAAGTGTTGCTTCCTCAAATATAATAAAACGACATGAAATTGGAATGACCGATCTTCAAAACGTGTACGACATTAATTAATTAGAAGCCTATATTCTTTGCTTCATCTATATTATTTTTCACTTTGTCACGCCTTCTATAAATCCCTTTAAAGACCCTTTTGGTTGCAGATCGAAGCCCTTTGCATCTGATCTCTTCATTATCCTCAACCTCTTGCATGACTCAATAAACATCCTGCAAAAGTCCCACTTTCCACATGAACACGTGTATATATAAAAATAAAAATAAAAATTATTATAGCATCAAATAAAAATAAGAATAATTAATTATTTATTTATTTGCTTGTTTACCTTTTATATTATAAAGTTTATATTTTACCAAAAAGATATATATTCGCATGGAATGGAAGTTGGAACATTTGATCGTTCTGGGGAAATGTGGCCAACTAATAAGAGGCTTTTCTCCATCTTATATTTGGGGTGTATCCACTACTAAAGGTCTTGCTTTTTGAGGTCAGGCCACATACAATTGATTATTATCTATCCCCCACCCTTCCCATGTTGATGTGTCGAACATTATAACGAGGGATTCACGCATGTCGGCAATATATATGATATGTCCAAGATTATTTTTTGTTTTTGTTTTGAAATAATTATAATATTTAGCATACAAAATAGAACTTAATTAGATCACTCGACAACTTAATCAGCACATATCTAATCAAGTGTTGTGTTGGAGGACTACAAAATGATTTTGCCAAACTTGTATAGTATTGGGACTACTGGTTTATTTGACTGGATGATGATTAGATTATAAAGTAAAGCATGCATGCATCTTCAGACAAATTGTAATTAGCACGTAATAATCATCATTATTATATACATAATAATAATAATAGTGATCAAGTAGGGAAACTAACAAACGATATTATGGAGCACACAGTTTTGATAAACGGAATCGAACAAAGTTGGTGGTGTATGCACTACTTATTAAGTGTTGGGTGGATTTGCTGAGTAAAGACGGGAAAGTGACTCAGTGGTAGACACAAGTATTTTCGGTTTACTTGACTCGTATTTCACACGCTTATCACTTTTGTCTCTGAAAACATGACTAGATGTTTCCACTCAAACCAAAACAAACATAGAAAAAGTGTATACAAATTATTAAGGGGTTTAAGTACGGAAATTTTACTGTGAAACATGACAAAATATAGCTTAGTTATTTGAGTCATAATTAACATATATATTTAATCTTTGACTATAGTCCAATTCAATTTGAAATTTGTGTAAAGAATATAATAAAGAGAGAGAAAATAAATAAAAATAAAAAAAAGGGCTAAGAGAGGAACTTACTCCCAAGGGACATCTCCAACTAGCATCCAGTCACCATCTTTGTCTTCGTAGATGGGAACGTGTTCAGCATTGTCCGCATCCTTCAACGCTTCGCCTGTCAACAATTTTTATAGGTAAAGATATGTTTGTTTTAGAATTTTATAGAATTAATGCAGCAAAAATGATTTTGGAAGAAATTATATTAAAAAGTTACTGTGTTAGAAATATTATACACGAATTCAGAAGAATTTTCTTTTAATGGTATATGGTATGTAAAATTATGTTTACAGAGTAAAGATATGTATATTTTTAATAAAGAGTTTATGAGTAATATACATATTTATAAATTATATCCCAACAGTACTATGATAAATCTATTATGCTTAATTCTCTGTCATCGATCTAGAGTCTTGAGAATCGATCATGCAACTTTACATACTGCATCCCATCACAAATTAAATAAGGAGAATGTCTAGCTATTTTATATGATTTCGGCTCCAATTTGTCCCTCTATGTCTCCCTTCTTTATTATTTTAAATATGCCTATTCTTTACGTAAAGCCTGTTGACCATGTTCATAACTCTTATGGGAAACAACATTGAAGAACAAAATATATTAAATTCCGCTATATTCGGAGCATCAAATTCTCATATGTCATATCAAATACTAATTATTAATATGTGAATGATTTTTTATTTTAGGAGTATGTTTACCACAAACTTTATATATTAAATTTTTTTAATTTAATTATTGAATCATTAAAATTTAATGTAGATCATAAATTATTAAATGAAATAAATTTATTTTTGAAGTAAATAAATTGTTTCTCATATAAATATATTATTGAATTAGAAGGGGAAAGAAAAAAAAAAAGCTAAGAAACCCACTACTTGATAATTTAAGAAATTTATGACAAATAATTTTTAATATGCAAAAATATTGCTGATGAAAAAGATATGTAACCTATTTGGAGGTAATTTATGAAGCACCTAGAGTGCTACAAAAACCTATGAAGCACTCTGTGTTGTTCTTACGCGTTCATAATATATATCCATACACACTTCCTATTATTATTGATGACTGGATCTTGAGTTTTAATTCTGATAAATCAGATGCATTCATCCATCGAAAATAAGCATTACAGCCATAAACTATATTTCTTGCACAATTAATTATTTAGTGCGTATATACATATAGACATAAATAGAATTTTAACTAATTTGCATGTTTCTTTCTTAAACCTAAACCATGTGTGCGCAACGTACCTACATACCTAGCATGAATTATGATGTTGGAAAAAGAAAATGTAACTTACGAATTCCATAGCAAGAGAAGAAGTTCTCGAAGGACAAGGCCAAGTCGGAATATCCCTTGTGCATAGCTAAATCAATTTTACGCAAGAAAGGAGCTCCATCCATGCTAACTTTGACGTACTTTTTGGTTTGACTTACGGTGTTCTTCTTCCGGTAGGAACACAGCGGAGGCCACCCCACGACTTGGTTCTTGGTTTGCACTTTCCGGTCTTCGGAGGAGCTGTTTTCATCATCATCATCATCACCAGCTTGAATCTCCGAGAACACTCTCTTCTTCTCCTTCTTCTCCTTCTTCTCCACAGGTTCTCCACAGGGAAGCCCCAACCTTAGCTCAGTGATCTCAAGTCCAAGACCAAGACCTTGTTTCTCCATTAGCAATAGCATGTACGTGTTTGGAATGAAGAAGAAAAGAGGGTGTTGAATTATTATATATAAAGTGAATGAGTGGGAGCAAATGCAATGACAGGTCAACTTAGAAGAAACGGTCGGTCACATGAGAAACAAATGTAGGGACGACATGGGGACATATCCTACGACTCTTGCTGCCTTCTCATTTCCTCACATTTCATCGTGGCCGTTTCATCAGCTGACTGGGAACAACCCATGTGATTTGTTGGATTCACAGATTGAGGGTATAAGTCTTTCTAATTATTAATTTACTCCCATTGTTTAATTTCATCAACAATATCTATCATCATTATATATACATTTTTCATGTTATATGAAATATATTAATCCCGCTACTTTCTCTTCTCAGCAATTACTCCTGTGTATATCTGATTGATGCTGTAAGTCTTTGACATAATTTATACCGATGGTTTCATTAAAAATATGTATGATTGCATATATTTTCTCATGCTATGAGAAAACCCCACTACTTTTTCTTATTACTCACAATATATAATATTAAGTGAAAGAAATAAATTTGAATGATATAATCACACGTGAATTATTTCAATTAAAAATTATTTAATAATCACATGACAATTAAAAAAATTACATGACTTTATTTTAAATCATTATTTGATCTAATGGGCAAGATTCTTTCATCATGTTCTCTCTCACACATGCATATTAAAATTCTAATATTGTTTTTTTAAAAGTAGTTTAGGAAATTAAAAGGTATATATTAATATAATATAAATAAATGATGTTTGTTAATTTACACTCATTTATTTATTTTTAATGAATAAGTTATTAAGTTATAACTACAATTTTTTTTTAAAAAAATACACCACAGTGTAATTCAATAACTTACTCCTAAAAAATAAGTGACGAGTGTAAATTAATAAATGTTTATGGAATTTGCTAACATACACCCATTTTTTTAAAAAGGAGTATATTAGTCAATTATAATTATAATTCAAAATATACCCAAATATAACTTGTTAACTTATTCTTTCTAAAAAAAAATAACTGGGTGTAAGTCCACAAGTTCCTAAATAAACAAATATATACACACAATTTCTCTCATAATTTTATATTTTAAATTATTTTAAATTTAATTATGTATTTTAAACATAATCTCTCTCAAGTGACATGATAATTTAGTAAATTGAAAAAATATATTTTAATATATATTTTGACTAAAAATTAAAAATACATGCATATTTAAAATTTTACAATGATTTTTTAATAATATTAAATTAAATAAACTAAATTATATATTTTAATATAAGAGAGGAGGTACAATGCAATCCTTGCATTTTACCTTATTGTACTTTTTAAAAGAACTGTGGAATTCATTTTCATACTTAATTAAATTCAAATATTGTAAAGAGCACTATGTTTTTGAATGAAGATTTTTTTTTTGAAGAAATTATCAGATTTTTCAAAAGTAAAAAAAAAAAAAAAAAAAAAGGAGCA